TTTTGGAAAATATCAGCGTTTCGTGTTCGTTTTGACTTCGTGTGGACGGGGCCTGAGACTAAAACGAAATACACTAAAGTTAGAAAAAGATGAGTTTCTCATTGCAGTGTTGAGCAATCACATTGTTTCTTTACCTTATATGGGCAAGGGATGTGATACCTCCTGCAGTTCTCATCCATCCACGTCGTTTCCCAAATGCTGCGATACGTGTGTTCATAGATGTAGCACCCAATCACTGTGAATAAAGGGGCAAGATAGAGAACAGAGAACACACCCATTCGAATCATGAACTTGACTAGTTTGGCCTGGTTTTCTTTCTCCAATGGAATCTCCATCCGCACCCGATTCAGAGCAACAATTCCCACTAAAAGCAGGGAGACGCCAACCTGAGGAAATAATGAAGTAAGAGAAGAAGGCACTCAGACAGATATTGCACGGTTAAAATGAGCTATTAGTTCTGAAAGAGTACTTTTAGACGTCCACATTTCTAAGATATCATTCACCACTTTATCTCTTCCTCCATCCATCATTTATCCACTCCCACTCATTCCTTTCACCATTTCTCTTCTAACTGCACTCACCGCCACATTGAAGCAGAGCGGTGCCAGAACAAACCACCTCAGGGCATCGATGTCATACAGCCCTATGAAACACACTCCGCTGATCCCATCTCCCTCTATCTTATTCAAGGCCAACAGGGAGACAGTCAGGGCTCCAGGGAGGCCCCAGGCCACAGCGTGGAAGAGGAGGGCTTTCTTCTCAATGGCCTCGCTGCCCCATTTAGGCACAGCAGCCAGGAACCAAGTGATTGTCAGTATGACCCACCACACGCTGCCGGCCATGGTGAAGAAGTACAGGATCATGAAGAAAAGTGTGCATACCTGAGAGGGGAAAAAAAAAAGTTCTGTTTTTATATGATGTGGAAGGAAGCTGATGTCTGATTGGATGAAAAGGAAAATATTTGAATGGTTAATCATTTAAAATCTGACCTTGTTGTGAGAGCCCTGTGTGATGGTTGAAGCTCTAAACTGGGCCAGGCTCACTGCATTGCACGCTACTCTGTCCTCTAGGAGGAAACCCAGGAAAAAGACCAGCGACACCATGACGTAACACACAGCGTAGAAGATGATTGGCCGTTCAGGGTATCGGAACCTGTTGACAGACAAGGAGATTCATTTTTCTTAATCATTTTGGTTATATTTCACAACTTTAGATCTGCATATATGAGATCAGCTTTCATTTTGATTTAAGTAAAATGTTTGGTAGAGAAAATACACCTTGTAACATCAATGAGAAATGTCAGGAAAGTGAAGAGCGTTGCAGAGAGACAAACAATAGAGACCACTCCAATGAAGTATCGGATGAAGGTCAGCTCCTGCTGGTTGAAGAACATGGATGGGCAGGGAGCTGAACAGTCCTTCCTTCCCATGAAGGTGTAGCCCAGGTCGGGGTCGACTTTGAGCTCTCGGGGACACCAGAAACCATAATCTCTTTGGACCGTCATGGATGACTGATCGGTGGGTTCTGAGCCTGTCAGCAGGTCCTCAGCGCGAGGGTAAGGCTCATTGCATTCTGGAAACCTGGATAATCAAACACTTTGTCAGATCATAAAACTTGATCTGCCACAATCATCTCAGAGATTTAAATTTTCATGCAGGCAATTCAATTAAGTTCAGTTTATTTATATAGTGCCAATTCACAAACATGTAATCTCAAGGCAACCAGATAATACAGTCAGACTGGTTCAAAGTGTTCAAAGGAAAACCAGCTGATTGCTTCGAGTCATCGACTCGAAGGCAATCCCTCACACCAAGCATGCATGTAGATACAGTGGAGAGAAATACCTCCCTTTTAACAGGAAGAAACCTCCAGGAGAACCAGTCTAAGTGTAAGCACCAATCTGCTGAGGCTGACTGCCTTTCTTTAACCTGTTTAAATCTGGGTATTCACTTTCCTTCCATCATAAGATGAGGTGATTCATACCCTTCCTATGAATAAAAATTCACCATAACTTTCTGTTAATGTTCTACAACACCATTGAGGGAGATGGAAAATAGGAGCCCTTTCAGTCTAAAAGTTAATCACAAATATAGACTTTAAAATACTTCTGTTAGTCTATAAATCATTGAAGGTTTAGCACTAAAATACATTACTGAATAGGGGTGTGCAATTATGTCTGACAAATGTATCATGATAGAAGACTTTCATATCAGTCAATATAATTTATTATTAATTGGGATTTTGTTTACCTTTTCGATATAAGTAACAGGAGTAGAAGCCTGAGTTTAAACTATAACCGGAGATGGGAAGTAACGAAGTACAAATACTTCGTTACTGTACTCAAGTAGATTTTTCTGATATTTTTACTTTACTACTTATTTTTATGGCGACTTTTTTACTTCTACTCCTTACATTTTTACACAAATATCTGTACTTTCTACTCCTTACATTTAAAAAATTGGCTCGTTACTTTAGTTTTGAATCATTTCAATGGAGTTACCGTTATTATTTTTCACGTCATCAATACCAAATTCAATCTAATTGGATGGGAATCTACGTTGCATTTGACGCACCACTACAAGATGAATCGACAGATTCGGCGGTATTCATTCGCGGCAAATCATTGCAGCTTGGTGGCGGTGGCGTTAGCATAGTAGTATGGACGACGAGATGATTGAAAATGAACACAACGGAGATCTAGTCCTATTGGCAGACATCCATTTAAAATGTAGGCAACGGCATGAAAAAAGTGGTTTCTACTTTTACTTTTATACTTTAAGTAAATTTACAAGCCTGTACTTTGTTACTTTTACTTGAGTAAAGAAGTTTAATCAGTACTTCCACTTTTACCAGAGTATTTTTTAACACAAGTATCTGTACTTTTACTCAAGTACGGAAAGTGAGTACTTTTGCCATCTCTGACTATAACCCTATTTAAACATGACCTTTAACCTCAAAAACCGGTCAGCCCTACTACCAACCCTGCTTAGTTTGGTCATAAGAGGTCGAGAAGCTAAATTATTTTCTCCCCTACATCCCCCATAATATAGTTTTTTTTTTAATAATAGTTCAGTGGAACTATTGAACATGTTAGGTGACGTATTTTCTATTGATAATGTTTGGGTGTCTTTCGTGATACATCGGTATCGATTTATTGCTCAGCCCTATTACAGACTTGTTGTTAGTGGATCAAGTTTGGCCCTTAAATGTTCAACTAATCTGGAACCAACACCAGAAAACTAAAAGTATGACACCCTTAGTTGCTTTAAATCGAGATTTTAAAACTTTTTCTGTTATATAAACATTAATAGTTTTTAGTTTTTATTCCAACTTCGTATTTTATAATTTCATAACTTAGTTTTTATTCTCTTTAATCATTCATATTTATTACTTTAGTACCTTTATGCCACTGCAATTCCTTTTTCACTTTTGCTTTCCTATAATGTTTCTTGTTTTATGTGCAGCATTATGAATTGTCTTAATAGAGAAATGTTCTGCTGCTCAGTCATTTTTCGTATGGTTTATAGCTTTAATTTGAATCCTCCCCCATTCTTTAGAAGAGTATGATTTATTTAATTTATATAACATCTAATTTTTCAAAGATGATTTTTTTTTTAATCAAAAATAATATATGCACACTTGCTGAATGGCTTTATAAAAACACTACCAGTTCTCATGGTGACACAGTTGTTTGAATAAACTAGAGGGCTGACACTTGTCCGTGAGCATCAGAGAAAAAACGTTAGAATTCCAAATGCTAGCTTTTTTTCCCTCCTAATTATTCTTTTTCAACAAGCTGCCATAAATATATGCCAGCAAAGATTAATAATTATTAAATAGGATGCCAGTTTCTCACCCAAGGCTTTCAGATATTTATCCTTTCTCCTAGAAACTCGATCAATCACTTCGTAAACCTTCTCTTTATAAACTAAAATTGAAAGAAGAAACGTTGCCATCACTGCTTTCTCTTTAGGTTGACACTGTCTGCATTGATGCTGGAATCTGCAGATTCAAAAGTTACATCATCACTTTTGGCAACTGTTATCTCAGCTGCCTTAAGTCTCACTTGTTTGTTTTCTGTATAAATTTCTGAAATATGGACATAGAAATAATTTTAAAAAAATTACGGTGAGATACAAGCCTGAGCACATTTGTAAAGAAAACATTGTAAAGTTGTATGAACTTTAGCATCACAACACTATCAGCAGTCTCAAATATCATCAGCATCTCTAACGTTACATTTTCCATTTATTGTTATTTCCCTAAATGTGAAATCAGTTAATATGAAAATAATCTACAAAAATCTGATTCTAAGAGCTTGAGAATTAGACACCTGTCCTCTCATTAAGACAGTAATAACTTTTTTTTTAAACCTTGGACCTTATAATCAACACAAAGTGAAAGTTGGCTTTAAAAAAACAAGATATTAAGAAATAGAAACTAAGACTTTCACTTGATCTGTCCTGTACTCTCCAACTATGAGCAGGAATAAAATTAAGGACATTGTAAATATCATATGAATGACAAATTTACAACTTAAATCTGAAAATAACGAAGAAGTTATTAATGTATGTTCTACACAAAAAGTGTTTGAAATATAAATATTGTTGTTTTTTTCAGCCATGTCATACAGATCCAGTTTGTCTTAATTAGATTTGAGTGTCGTCAAGCATTTCCGTTACTGTGAAAGAAATGCTTGTCTTTATAAACATGAGCAAACGAACCAAATTATATGGGACATGTTGATTTAGGCTTTGATTTATTTCACCAGTACCCTGTCCTTTTTGTTTACCAAGCAGCCAGTGACACTAACTTTGACCTCTTTTACAGTCATGCCCAGCTCCTGCTCAACAGGTTAAATTAAATAAGGCCCAACATTTAAAGAGAATCTAGATGAAACTTCAGTGCAAACTGGAAAGATGAGAGAAGCATTAATTTAGTGATGCAGCTTCAGGCAATCCTTATTAAAAGTAGGAACAAAGATCTGCTTTGTGTTGATTTGTGATTTTCTCCTTAGTGATGTCTCATTCACTTCCTGTACTTTCCATTTTGATTCTGTGTGGTCATAAACAATAAAATCAACTAATAATCTAATAGAGAGGCTGAAAAGCAATCTTTGCCGCACAGGAAAGGTTGCCCACCAGGAGCAAAGTTAGAAAGCACAGATGAACTGTAGGTCTGAGATAGCTATAGAAATGTAACCAGTTTCAAACAGTGAATACTGTTTTACATTCTTACCTGCTGCACTCCATATCCTCTGGCCAAGCTACTCCGAATATCTCCATGAGTTTATGACACTCGTCCTTGGCCCGCTGGCAGATAGCTCGACATGGCATGGACAACCGGCCATACTCTGTGCACACTGGAGCATACAGGGCACACAGGAACATCCTCAGGTCGGCACTGCACACCAAGTTTACCATTGGATGAAAAGGCTTTGGAAACAAAAGAACAAAAAAAAAAAGGTTTAGTATAAGCCAACGGAAATTACTTTTATAAAACAAACCACTAAGTACACATTTTTAAGCCTAATCTCAAAAGCATTTACAGTTTTTCGTTTTTACAGGTATATCCTTAGTTAAGAAGGGACCATTTTCAATGCTCTCTCTCACACACCTTTATAACAACAGTGTACTTTGGAAATTTTATTTCATGTTCATGTCTGATCTACAAAAGCCATAGAAACAGACTGAGAAGAAACCTGAGCATAAAAGCTCTACTTTTACTGCAGAGCATCACACCACCACTTTATATGACATGAATCATTTTATATTTACAAAATATTGATTTATTAACAGTCAAATAAATAAACAGGCGCTGTACTATTCAGTTATTTTGCTGGAATCCTATTGAGAGATTTTAATTTTAAATCAAGGCAAAGTATCAATAAAAGAAACATCAGATGTCTGAATGCTAAAGTTAAAAGATTTTACCTCTTAGATTTTTTTTTTATCTCTTGGATTACTTGGCCCTAGAATAAATAAGATGAAAATCACACTGAAAAGTCTGCTTAAATATAAAAAAATGAAGGTTTCAATTTCCGGTCATAAAATCAGCGGTTATAGTTTGGAAACTGATGGAACTAAATCCAGCAGCCTTTTATTATGATGGCATAACTCTTAGCATGTCTGCAGACTGGCTGCGCAGCTAGAATCAGCTTGTTATACGTGTGTTCTTCTCAGCTGTTCAGAAAAAAAAAAAAAAAAAAAAAAAAAAAAAAAAAGATTTTATACAAAAACAAATTTTATTTGAAAGCTGAAAATCAATTTTGGTCTTTATGCATTTGCTCAAGTGTGTGTCTCGATTAAAAAAAGGTTATCAACATAAGAAATATAACTGCAGCAAATTAATATTTGATAAATAAATTAATAATTGATGCTCTAATGTTTCAGATTATATCATATATTTCTCTGTGATAATCTCACACCAACCCGTGCCTATCCACTCATCACTAAAGAGTGTAGATGTAAAATGAACATGCAACAAAGAGCTGCACTTGTACCAAATTTTGACCACAATCAGTTGTATGCACTTATAGACAAATCCTCACGCATCACTTGGTTTGTATGTGTGTTTTATGTGGGCACCACTGTGAAGTGAGGGGTTGTAAGGATATTTTGATCGTTCCTCAATTGCTGTGTTCTATATCCACAGATGGGAGAGAAGCTAAACCAGTAAATGGATGCAGTGATGCATGAGCTGTGACATAGTTTTCAGGATTGCATGGAAACAAGTAATGGCGTGCACAGAATCCCCGTCTTCTGTCAATAATTCAAGTAGTTTACAACGCATTTAAAATCATTTCAATAATCCAGGCCAGTTTATTTATATTTGGTGGTTTCCCTCCTTTGGTTTGACATTTGCTGTGAATTAATTCTAAGTATAAAATGGTTAACTAAGGTCCAAACTAAACACTGCGACATCAGCATTTGAGCTCTTTTTTTGTCTTGTTCTTATAAAACATAAGAACTTGGGATTTAAATAACTCGCTCCACTTCTCCTCTCAATCACTGATCTGTGACAAAACAGCGACAATTGAAAGTTAAAAAGCAGAAATGACACTAGAGGTCAATCCTGCAAAGACCATTCCCTATACACACACAAGGTAATGACCTCCCTCCCATTTCAAATAGCTCCCCTGTGAATTTATCATTTTAAAGTACAGAGGCTTTTTAAAAGCCACCATAATCAAACTACACATGAAAACTGTTTCACATGTCCTGGTTCTGCTCGTGTCTTCCGCGCATGTTTCCCGTATTTAGAGTGTGTCCCAGTTAGGTGTTTTTCATTGTGCGTGATGCAGGAAGGTTTGCGTGTCTGGAGTAGAAATCACATGTGTGCCGCTAGCTGTATGCAATTATTCTGACAGTCAGGGCAATTGCCCCCCCATCTCTCACTACAAAGAGAATACTGATACAAAGTGGCCTCACTGTGCTACAGAACGAGAGGGGAAGAGGTTGCCAATCAGCTATCTATGGAGAATAAGTCAAGTAAATTGCCTGACATTAAGTATGTCAGTTGTGATGGACAAGTGCTAAAAAGGAAAAAAGCCTCCAAGCTTTACCTAAGGGCAAAAGCAGGCTCTGACAAACATAAAAAACATGGCAGAGTATGATGGGGGATGGGTAGGAGAAGATATAAACTAAAACAGAAAACATGGTAAAATACATTCCCCTTCAAGGATCTCTCCATCTGCTTTTTTATTTCTCCTTAGTCTTCACAAGAACCACCAAGGAGTCATTCTGAGCACTTAACTATTTCTAAAACTGGTCATATTTAATGATATCCTTCATATACTTTCCTTATTTTTCTATAAATCACAGAAAATTTGTAACATAAAATGTCAGTAAGCATCTTTTCCATTTTGATTTGATCACTGATTGATACAGCAAAATATATATTTTGTACTGCACTTGCCTAATTAAATATATTTTCACCCTTTCCTTCCTTAATATCTATCCAGTAGAAAAATACAAGGGGACATATTTGACTTCGACACATTCTGAGAATGAACACAATTTGAATAAGGTCTGTGTTTAATATTAGATTAAAGCAACATTTGGATTACACCAACATTATGCCATCTTCAACCCAACTGTTTAATCAATGAACTCCACAGGCAAATCCAACCCAGGCTCTATTCTCCACTGAAACAGTCCCTAAATGCAGCCCCACCCATCTTTTCCTTTCTATCTACTTTACTATATGCGCTGCTGAAACTTTTTAACATTACAGTCTAAAAGTTCACAAATTCCTTGAAACAAAGACCATACCTCCAAAGCTTTTCACTATTAGAAGCACATCTACACTGGTCGAATGTGGCAGAAACACTGGTCCAAAAATGCTTTAAAGAAAATTTAGATTTCATGGGTTTAACCAATGAGATTATAGAAGTTTGTTTCTATGTCATGACATCAAAATCCATTAAAATCTACGCTTTTCTTTGTACCTGGTAACTACACAAAGCAAATGATATTATATAAAGATTCAATTAGAAGTAAGAAAAATTGGCTTTTTATTCAAGAAAGCTAATCAAATTGAATAAAACTAAAAAGAAGCACCATTCTTTAAAAAAAAGTTGAGCAGAGAGGAGAAAGCCCCTCTGACTGGTCTGCCTATGCCTCAAAAGAAGGATTAACTTCCTTTTACTTTGCTCCCACTCTCCACAGGGGAGGGAGAAAAAGAAAAGAAAAAAAAGAAAAAGAAAAAAATGTAAACAATAAAAAAGGACTATGTCTGCTAATTAACAGCTGCATAATGTAAGCAGTTATACTTCAGGCAATCCCAATTATTATAATGTTGGAATCACAAACTGACACTGTGTGTTTAACAATAAATAATGTATGAGAAAGGTTTTGCACGAGACTGCTACAACTTCAGGTTGACCAACCCCCCGATAAAAAGGCTTAATTATTTGGTTGTGATGTAATAAAATCACATTACAAAATGCAAAACACAAGAAGGCCACCATACAGTTTTTATGCTTAATTTCTTACAAGTTAGTTCTTTATTGTACCATTTTTTTTGACAAGTCCTGTCAATATCCCACGGATGATAGGCCAGATTTGCTTTCCCAAGTAGACCATCATGGCTGCTGCAATTAGGTTCCACTTGTTAATCATGTATACAATGGGAAAGGAGGGTGAGAATGGGTGAGGGGATAATTAAGGGGGAGAGAGGGAAAAAGGTAGATAATGAGTGCTGAAGGAAAAAATGTCTTACAAACAACCAGCACTGAAAATTGAAATGAACAGTGTTACATTTGTACTTCATAATTATTTTTTGTAGAAACTAAACACTATAGCATCATTATATTTTTGTAACAACTTCTGAAGTCTTTTTTTTTATCTTAATTTTAAATGATCTTATATTTAAATATTGTAATTTTTGGCTTAGTTCAAATTTTAATCAAAAAGTCGGACATAAGTAGATTTTATTCTTAATTCTTTAAAATTATCTTCTACATTCAGTTTTGTATTTCCTAATCCCTACTGAGAAAATTGAAATTGTGACATTGTAGCTGCCACATTAGATGATTTTAATCGTTAAAAATCTATATTTAAATGCCACAATAAAAAATTAGTCCTTTTTTTTATGTCTTTCTAAAATTAAATAAGGGAAAAAATAAAGTATAAGCTTATTCTAACCAACCCTTGGAAATTTGCATCCAACTGATTCGAGTTATGTAATAAATGGATTAAAATGTATTTATTACATAAATTTTAATAAATTCATTTCATCCATCTCTAAATTGTTTTTTCCTGAATTTCTGTGTGTTTGAAGACAACCCTAAGGCTGCAGTGATGAGAGGCGACCTGTGTGTGATGTAGACACTATGTAGTAAAAGTTTCTCAGAGCTTCCCAACTGATCTAAACTCTAAATTGTGGAAGATAAGCAGGAATCTGGACCCTCTGCAGGCAAAAGGGCATTTATCTATGAATAGCAACATAGACGCTTCTGGGGGCTACTAATGAGCAGACAATAAATATAATATTTTTATTTAGCTTCCAAATACAGTCTAAAAATAGAAACAATATCTGCCTGCAACAATTTATCATGAATGGTTCAGATGTTTAAATGCAAGTTTGGTTAATGAAAACACCTAAATATGTAAGCCACCTTTGTTTTTTTGTCAATTACTCTCAGGTCAAAAAAACAAAAGACACAACTCAAAATTTGCATAGCAAACACTGTTCATGTAAAACGTCCTATTTTTGTTTACTTCTAGTTGCTTCTAGTTTAATTTCATCATATATTAGACATATATGCTTTTTATAAGCAGAAACAGGGACTATTTCATTTATAGGTAGCCCGTTTCAATTTAAAATGTAAATCCTTGCTTACATTTCTGTAAGCAAGGATTTACATTATGCTAGTGTGCATTGATAGTTAACATCCACTGTAAAAAGATTACATCTATTTGGAAGAAAGATT